GAATATTAAGAACTTGAATATTTTTTGGAAAAAAAGAGGTCAAAGAAGTTTGCATTCAAGAAAAATAAAAAGGGAGATAAGATAAAATATAATAATTTAAGAAATTTTTTTCTTTAAACAAGATGATGTTTCAACAAGCATATTGTTGATTAAATTATCTTGAAAAAATTCTATATAAATGTAACATTTAAGAAACGTGATTTGGAAAGATAATTTAATATGGTTTATGACTTATATCATGTGTAATACGAATCCTAAGTTAGAATCATAATTGAATAACCCTTTAACACAAAGCAAGCATGATGCTCTTTGGTAAAATTATTTTGTTGTTGTTGCTTTCAGGAATGACAGCACTTCATCATGCTGCTAAGAATGGTAGGGAAAGTGCAGTTAAAGTTCTAATCTCTGGTGGAAGTGACCTAAATTCCCGTGATAGACGGAATATGACCCCAATGCATTTCGGAATACGGTCTGGCAAGACATCTGTTGTCGAATTATTTGTATCTAATGGTTCAGACTTGTCTCATCTTCGTGATGGGAGGAATTATCTACAATTCACTCTGCACGAAAGAAAATTGGAAGTGTTAAGAACTCTAGTATCATTAGTACCAAATGTACTGACGTCAGAAGAAACAGGTGAAACCATTGTACATTATGCTGCAACACTTGGTGACTGTAAAGCATTGGAAGTTCTCGTTGCCAGTGGAATAGACGTGAACATTAGAGATAGCGAAGGAGGAACAGCTCTCCATTATGCCACGGCGCATGGACAGGAAGCAGTTGCTGACTGGTTGATAAAAAATGGCATAGATATTGATGCTAAAGATAAGAATGGTGTTTCTGCTTTACATGCTGCTGTTCGTTGGGGAAATGAACACATTGTGCGGTTATTAGTCAAAAGAAAAGCAAACATAGAAATAGCGGACAAACTAGGACGTACACCTTTACACTATGCAGCCAGGAAACAAAATTCTATGAGCTATGCCTTTACATTAATAAACAAAGGAGCCAATATGGAAGCGGAAGATGACTTCAGAATGACGCCACTGCATCTTGCTGTTCGCTCTGGAAACGAAAGCTTGGTGAGAATTCTGGTCAGCAATGGAGCTAAAGTAGACGCTATTGACCAAAACAAAATGAAACCTCTTGATCACGCCATTGAAAAAAAATACATTTGTATTTCAGAATATCTGGAAAAGGGCGGTAAAATCATTGTGAAATGAGATAACATGTGCATTAAAAGGAAACGTCTCGAAGGCACAAAGTTTATTGTTGTGTTGGAACAGATCTCTGGAACAAAACTATATCATTTAACAAAGATTTTATTCAAACTCAGATTAATCAAAATTTTAAACACTACATTTGGAAATAATATTTTGATATACTTCTGAGTGAAATACTGATTAGAAAATAAACTTTTATTGCTAAATAAAACACTTAAGATTGATAAGCATAAGTTACAATGTCTTATTTATGATTCCAAAAAAAATAA